TCCATAATTTACAAGCTGATTATGCAAACCTTATACAAGGGAATTCAGAGAGTAGTTAACCACTATCACAGACTGGTGAATCAACATACATTTTGCCAACTAGATCACTTATATAGTTAGCTAAAAAGATCATCAAGATATAAAACTACATTTAAGTGGGAATTAGATTAGTAGTAAAAAGAAATTTTTAAAGATACTAGTAGTATAAAAGCATTAGGAAACAGCCAAGTATTTTAAATAAGTAACACTTGAATGTGATACAATCTAGATAGAACAGGACAAGAAATATCAGCTTGAGAGTAATACACTCTACAACAATATTTTTCTGTTAAAAGGGGTGTAAGTTATGAGATTTATATAAAGAAAAATACTAAATTTAATATTCTTACTTTTCTTTTCAGTAATATACCTTTTGTTGTTCTCAACAACATTTAATACTCAACAAATTTGTAACTATTTAAATGTGGGCGTTAAAAATTTTCTAAAAAGCTCCTTTGTCTGGGTTTCCAAGAATTTTGAATATGAGATTTTATTTCAGTTGTTTCTCACTAAACAATCATAGTCTATGTTCACACATTTGAATAATTCTATTTTAAAAACATCAATAATTTCTAGGTAAATATATTTCATAGTACATCTGCTTCTCTAAGATATTCTATCAAAATCATTTCAGAAAAAAATACTTTGACATTTCGATAACCCAGGTACAATATGCCATATATACAAAGGCACAGCAATTATTAGAACACATTGATATCTGATAAAAATGATCAAAAAAAGACATAGTGAAAGTTAACTTACTGTTTCTAACTTTAAAATTGTGAAACTCTTGAAATATTTTTAAAAATAATTTTCTTATTTTTCAAACTTAATAAATCTCTATATATTGTGTTTTTGCTCTAGGATGTACTCTAGGATGTACATCAAGGAGGCATCTCATCCCATTCCCATAAGCAGGCTACCAGATGCTGCAAGGGAGGAGAACCAGAAATCTTTGACTTCTGATTTTTATCACTCTACAACTGACACTTGCAGCTGAGATCAGCTAGTCCAGAATTAAAACAAAGAAAAAAAATTATTCTATTCTGTTACCCCTGCACATCTCTGCTAGAACATCAAAAATTATATATCCAGAAAAAGAATTCATTACACTTAGCAATTATCCTAAAAAAAGTGTCAAAGACAATCTACCTATGTTATACTAATCTATACCTACTTAGGTTCATTCAATTTTAAAATCCCGTAACAAGTAGCTTGGACATTGAATTTTTCAAGTTCACCTTTCAAAAACTTAAGGACTGTTTTCTTGACACTGAAAAATTCTAAATCTATTTGAAGACGTCCTCGAAACATAATAATTAAAACCAAAAGCAGTACACCAGTTGCCCATCAAGCAAATTCTGGCTTATTACAAACCCATGTGTCACAGTGTCACTATGCTACATGGGATTACCAAGAGCTGACTTTTTGGCAAGTAAATAACCAGGCATATTTTTCTCTAAAAAGCCTCTGCATATACTGATTCTCCAAACTTAACTCAGTTAGAAAATCAAGAGTGTTAACCATTTACATCACCTGGGAACTTAAGTTAAAATATAAGTGGAAGTTATTTATACCTATTTGTAAAAGTTATTTACTGTTATTTTTTTATTTACAAGGGGGAAAAAAGCATGCCGTAATAAAGTATTAATACCTCTTTCAAGTGGGAGAATAAGAAACTTCCTTAACCTTATTTGAAATAGTCAAAGTAGGTTTCCAAGATGTATAACATGAAATATTCCATGGGAAATGAATTTTATAATTTGACCTAAATTGTTTTGTCCTTCAAAGTTATTTAATTCTTTTGTTTCAAGCAAGTACAATCAAAGCTAGAATTTTGAGTAAAAGGAGACATAAGAATAGAATACAATTCTCTCCAAAGTACTTTTTTTGGGGGGAAAAAGGCATTAACTACTTTTATCATCATAGTACTGCAATCTGAAGCACAGTTCAAAAAGCATTAAAACATTACAATGCTTTAAAATTTATATGTTAAAATTCTCAAACAGAAAAGAAGAGACCAGTTTAAAATTAAATGGTGAAGTGATATAAATGTAACTACAGGTGTAGCTAACAAAATATTAAAAATTTATTCTCGTAGCAGCTCGTTTTAAAGAATAAATACACATCAGAAAATATACTTTCATAAGATTCACAACTATAACTTTACTGATTTTTCCTTCCCTTGGGCATTAAAAATACAAAATTAATCTTTCTTCATTTGACTTTGATCATACCCAAACCCATGCTGCCTATAGAAAATCAGTGACCGAATCCTAAAGGTATCCCTTTACCTCACTGTAGAATTTCCCCAGGCTCCATGCTTGTCTGTGAGAATGTTGATAATTTTCTGGATTAGTTGAGTTGCTGTCACATGGTCTCGATATTTAGCTGCTCTGATCAAATGATCACACATTTTCTCATCTTCTCGTTTGTCCGCAGAATACTGGGCACACAGTGACTTTCATTAAAAGAAAAGAACATAAAACATGTATTAATGCCATAAAAATACAGAATAGCAAAAAAAATACAGAATAGCTTCAAATGTATAACTAAGTAATCTTCAACATGAATCAAACATATTTCAAAGCTGCTTCTATATCCAATGTTAACTAATATCTAATGATCTGCTTTCCCGCTATACATGTCGTATGAGTTAATTTCTATAAGGTCAATAAGATATAGTCAAAAACACATTTAAGGAAAACATAAATAGCATGTAGTCATATGAAAATAGACAGCATTATAAGCAACATGAAAACAAGGTAATTACAAAAGACTCAGTGAATTGATTAAAGAATGCATGAAAAAATTATCTAGGAAGCTTTAAAAGATTGGTGGAATACACAGAATATAGAACCAAAAAGAATTGGCCAATATTGAAATATTTCAGCAAGTACCACATGATCAAGGGCCAATGGTAAAAGTTCAAGTATCAATTAAAGCACTGGCAAAATCTAAGGCCCAAGTATTAATAGGATACAAACTGACATGTTTCAACTAATAGATATAACCCTGGATATTCTTACCAATTTATTCCAGAAAATTTGGAGGACAAATATCTGGCCAAATAACTAGAAGAACTGACTGGAAGAGATCCATATTTGCTCCCATTGTGAAGAAAGACGACCCAACAGAATGGGGAAATTATAAAACAGTATCATTGAAGAACAATTCAAACTTCAAGTTGCTACAATCAAGGATGCTTTAGGCAGAATGTTAAATGATCCAGGAGGTATCAAAAGAAGATGGAAGGAATATACTGAGTCATTGTATAGAAAGGAATTGGCAGATACAGAGGAATTTAATGAAATAACATTTGAGCAAGAGCCTATGGTGATGAAGGAAGAAGTTCAAGGTGCTTTGAAGGAAACAGCAAAACAGTAAGGCCCCCAGAATAGATGGTATACCAATTGACATATTTCAGCTAAAAGATGCTGCCCTGGATGTGCTCACCAAATTGTGCCAAGAAATCTGGAGAACAACCACTTAGCCAACTGACTGGAAGAGATCTATATTTGTTCCCATCCCAAAGAAAGGTGACCCATCAGAGTATGAAAACTATAGAACAATCTCACTGATTTCACATGCAAGTAAGATTCTACTGAAGATTATCCAAAAACGACTGAAACAGCACATCAGCAGAGAACTGCCAGAAGTCCAGGCTGGGCTTAAAAGGGGGTGTGGTACTAGGGATATTGTAGCCGATGTTTTATGGATCTTAGCTGAAAGCAGAGTATACCAGAAGAATGTCTATTATGTGTTTCACTGATTATGCAAAGGCATTTGACTGCGTGGATCATAACAAACTGTGGCTGACTCTGAGAAGAATGGGAATCCCAGAACATTTAATCGTGCTAATGTGAAACCTATACTTTGACGAAGAGGCAGTCATCAGAACAGAGCAGGGCAACACTGAATGGTTCAAAATTGGGAAGGGTGTGCGCCAGGGATGTGTTCTATCTCCATACCTTTTCAACCTGTATACAGATCAGATTATCCGAGAGGCTGGGCTCTACGAGGAGACGCATGGCGTTAGGATTGGTGGAAGATCTATCAACAATCTGCATTATGCAGATGACACAACCTTGCTCGCTGAAACTGAGGAGGACCTCGTGCACTTACTGCAGAGGGTCAAGGACTGCAGCCTTCAGTATGGACTGAGGCTCAATGTCAAGAAGACAAAGATTCTCACCACTGGACCAATTGGTAGCATCAGGATGGATGGCGAAGAGATTGAGATTGTTCACAGCTTCAGTTTGCTTGGCTCCACAGTCAACACTCTTGGAACCAGCAGCCAAGAAATAAAAAAATGTATTGCGATGGGAAAGTCTGCTGTTAGGGACCTCTCTAAAGTACTCAAGAGTAATGGTGTCTCTTTGGAAACAAAGGTGCGCCTGATACAGACCATGGTCTTTGCAATCACTTGTTATGCATCAGAGAGCTGGAAATGACTAGAGAGGACAGAAGGAGAATTGATGCCTTGGAGCTGTGGTGCTGGAGAAGAGTATTGAATGTACCGTGTACTGCCAAAAAAACAAACAGATTCATCCTAGAGAGGGTTAAACCAGGCTACTCCTTGGAGGCAAAGATTCTCGGGCTTCTCCTGACATACTTTGGACATGTTACAAGGAGAGACAGGTCTTTAGAGAGGGACATCATGCTGGGTAGAGTAGAGGGACAGCGCAGGAGGGGAAGACCCTCTATGAGGTGGACTGATTAAGTGACTGGGGTAATCAGGATGGGTGTGTCAGAGGCAATGCGATTGGCACAGGATACAGCAGGGTTTAGGGCTGTTGTACATAGGGTCGCTATGAGTCTAAAACGACTCGACGGCACATAACAACAACAACAGTAAGCCAAATATCGTTAAAGATCATCCAAAACAGTCCAAATGATACAACAACAGAAATGTCTGAAGTTCAAGCAGGATTTAGAAGAGATTGTGGCAACACAGATATCATTGCTACTGTCAGACAGGTCCTGCTGAAGACAGAGACTAAAAGAAGAACGTCTATTTGTGTTTTATTAAATATAAAAAGGCTTTTGTGTGGATCACAAGCTGTAGCTAACATTGAGAAACATAGGAATTCCAGAAAACTTTTCTGTTCACAAGAAACCTAGACCTAGAGTAAGAGGCTGTTGTGCCAGAACAGCAAGAGAACACTACACAGTTTAAAATTAAGAAAGTTATATGTCAGGGTTCTATCTCTCTCCATACCTATTCAGTTATATGTCAGGGTTCTATCTCTCCCCATACCTATTCAATCTATCAGTCTGAAGCAGTGTCCGCAATATCAGATGGAAGACCTTAAGCTGCACCTGGTTCAGGCCATGGTCTTTTCAATAACTTGTTATGCATCTGGAACCTGAACAGTGAATCAGGATAATAGAAGAAAATTCGAAGTCTTTTAGAAAAGAGTACTGAACATCGCATAGACTGCCAAGAAGGTGCAGACAGAGGGTTCCTTGAAGGCAAAGGTGATAAAGCTTCATCTCACACCCTTGTACTGTGACTACTTGGGAAAATTTCCATTTGATATACATTGATACTATATACAACAAATTTAAATTCTCCCCAGTCCTCACAATAAAAATATGTGAGGTGTAGCTTTAGGGTCTCTATCATGGCCTAACGGCATGAAACTATGCTGCTATCCTGAAGGCATGTGGTTCAACCCCACAAACTGCTCTGTGGCAGAAGGATGGGCAATCTTCTCCTGTACAATTAAGTGCCTCTTAAAACCCACTGAAGGATCAGCTATGGGGTGGTTCTGACTCCATGGTATATAATAACAACAATAAGGGTCTCTGAAAATTGGAACAGACTAGATACATTAACAACAAAAAGTTATAAAAAGAGAGTTGAAATATTGTTTGTATACAGTGAAATATCAAGGAAAGTTTTAAGTAGAAGAATTATATGGTTGATTCACATATTAAAACAACCACTAGAGTGGCAAGAAGCTGTGCCGCAATCCTGAAGGTGCGTGGTTGGAATACACCTTTCTGTGGAAGATGGACAATATCCTCTGTGCAATTAATTGCTTCTGAAAACCCACCTGAGGGTCAGCTCTGGGTCATATTCTACTCAACAGTATACAACATAATTACAATTTAGAGATTAGTAAGTAGGGTAACAGAAAGTAAGAATAAAAACAGATTATTAAACTACTGCAGGGATTCAAAAAAAGAACAATGGAATCTTGTTACAGTAAGCTTAAATAGCTATCAATACTTTAAAAATAAAGTATTTTAAAGCCTAACTGTGGAACATGGACTATCAGTAATTAAATCATTAGAGAGTTTAGCAAAAATGAAGAATTCCAGATTCTACCCCAAACATTCAAAACAAGAATCTGAATTTCATAAGATCTTCAAATTGTTCACCTGCATGTAAAAGTTCAAAAATGGTTATCTAAGTTGCCAGTTTTGTTAAAAAACAAAAGATAGGATTCTTTAGCACCAAGATACAACTAAATTGCTACTTTCCAAGATGTATATTTTCTTTTAGAAATTAGATATGAAGTATCATAATATCATAGTTTATTACTTAATAATTAATTATGTAAGAAACATAAAGAATGACATAAACTTGAACTTTTGTTCTACTGAATGTGTCTATTAGGTTCCATCAATTACATAAATTTCCTCAAACATAAATTTACATGCATGAGCACTTATAGTCACAATAACTGGTAAATAACTGGTTTACTTTTGGAGTAAATATTACAATTGGGTGTGTATGGATAGTCAACACTTTGGGGTTCACTATCTTTTCTACGTCTCTCACTGTGAAGAGGTTGCCAGAACACACTATCGCTGCTGAAGCAATAAGGGATGATCCTGAATACCCTGAAACAGTATGAGCAATTCTATTTTGCACACTTGAGGAAGCCATGTGTTACAACTGACCTGAAGGTAACTAACAAATACAAGATAAAAACACAAAGAGTAAGAGACTGAGGAAATTCTGCCATACACAATGAACATAGAGAGAGTTATATAATAATATGACAGAAAAAAACACTCAGCATCAGATTGGTAGGCAGAGGGAGGGGAACTCCACAGGTTACATTACTAAACTTGCTAATAACTACCAGCTTTAGAGATCAATTTTAAATCTTTAAGTCTCAATGTCCTCACAAAACAGAGTGGTTTGTATTAGCTCTAAGAATTTGCTATCTAAAATATTTGGGGCAACTACTCGGACAATACTGTACTCATACTCAAATTCACTGATACCAAATCCATTTCCAAGGGTGTAAACTGCAATGGAAAGAGGTTACCCATCTTTCTCCCATGGAGTAGCTGGTAGATTTGAACCAACAGAGATGTAGTCTTTTGGTTTGTAATGTAACACCTTACACAGTACACCACTACAGTTCCCCCTATGTACAATATTAAAGTAAATTACATTTATGTAAAAACTGGCATGGAAAAAAATGTCAGAAATTAGAT